AATGACATGAACACGAACCCCAACAAACTGAATAACTTTCACTAAGGTTTCACATTCAAAAGAAGGCTGTTAGTTATTTTGAAACTTACAGATTAAGAAATAGGATTTTCCTTTCTGAAATGTAAGATGATGTTCAGCTGAATACCGTTGGAATATGACAGTGCGGAACTGAAGTGATGTGGGGTCTTCACAGCGCATGAGGAGGAAATGCCTTGGATCCTGCATAACATTACAACCATCGAAGGCAGCACTGTTGTGTACCAGCCAAAGGTTCTCATACCTGTTTGCTTTTGTAACTTCCCTCAAAGTTGAGTCCATCATCGTGGCTACATTTGGACACACAAAATTGATTTTTGAATTAGCTTCCACATTGAAGAGCTTGGGCTTCCCTGAGGGGCAATCATTTTTAAACCTGTTTGGATAAAAAATTTAAACAGGTGTAGATTCAGTTGTACCATGTGTCAAGTGATGCAGACATCAAAAAATAGTTACCCTACAAAGAGTCCAACTGATAACTATTAACCATGTGTGCTTGTGTCATAACAATAGCTTTGTAGAAGCTACTCTCAGCCCTCAAAACACTTGTTTATCCAGGTCCTCTTTGCATTTCCATAACAAGCGGCTTGTAATCACCACTTGTAGTAAAAGAACACCTCACTTTGATTACTCTCTTCATTTTCTCATGATATTGATGACAATAATGATAATGGTAAGTATAATGATGCCTTTATATAGCACATTCTTCTGTGACCTTCAGTATCCTCCAGATAATTCAATAGATTAACTCAATGCCTGGCAAGGAATGCTACATTTGTACACCATTATACAAGCATTTGTGAGGGGAAAGGACAATAACCACATGTATATCGAATTGTCATCCTTAACCTTACAAAATGCCAGCTGTTTAACTACCTCAAATCAAATCAGTTGCAACAATTTTTAAATATTTGTTGTTTCATCTGTATTTCTAGTGATCACACTTTCCATTTTTTGGCTAATTTGACTGATTACCTGACTTAATTAACCTGATAAAGTATACAGTGCTTAGCCATGCAGATGTTTTCCACCATGAGAAACAACTTTATCAAAGCAACCTAAACCCAGTGGAACCTTTTACACTGAGTTACAGATCTTGCTCATGATGCACAAATTTCAACACGAAACATGAAATCAATGTAAATTGTAACTATCTACCACCAACTACAGTGCAAGTGTATTTTATGAGAATTTCTCCTGTGTTACTAACTGCTGCAGTACTAACAACTTCATTAAAACTTTCACAGAGACATGCATGCTAGTTGGGGGATTAAAAAGGACAGAAGCCGCCAATATCGTCTTGTAGTATACAAAGGCAAAATAAACACTGACTCCAAGTACAATGGTACAATTAAAAAAAGATATCACGACAAATTGTTATTTTCGACTGTAGAGAGAGCTCTTTGAAGATCTAAGGTAATTTTTTGTCAAAAAGCAAAGCCCTGCACGGGAAACACGAGTCTACCTCACCTAAAAGATACAATATGAGCTCAAGCATGAGGAAACAATGAAACGGAGATCAGAGAAACGCGTGTCAAATTCTCATTGTCAGTGTCGTTCTGCAAACCACAAGAAATTACAGGCTAGTTGCGAGACAGGTGACCCAAGCTCACGCCTCGAGAAAAAGCAAACAATTTAATCATGAGAGCGTCACGCGTTGTGTGACTCGGTGTTAAGTTACGAGAGGAACTGCTGAGAATTTGAAAACGTTATATATTAAAGGAATAGCATGGGGAACGAAATACGGTCCATTTACAACGATAAATATTACGAAATATGAACATTCTAAACATAAAATCAATAAAAATTACGCACATTTTATGTGTCCATGGTAGTTTCTGGTGATTTTTGCCGTTTTAAGCTTGCTTTGCCATCATTGTTATTCCTCACACAAGACGTCTTATGACAGGAATAACAGTGATGGCATAAATTGTCGGTTGATATTATTTTTTTCTGTCTCCAGATGTGAGCTAGGACCGCCAGTAGTTGCGCATTCAAATCTTAACGTCTTAGAATAAGTGAGTGGCTACGGGAAACTAACTTTGATATTGGCTTTCAGGTTTCGCAATCTGCTATCGATTTAAAATAGTAGATAGTAGAATTAAAGTTGCACGTTCCTGTAACAGGAGCATTCATGAAAGAGTCAGACATGAAACATGCAAAACGAGATTTTTACTCACAGTGGATTTTCATGATCCCAAATTATGGACTTGTAAGTTGCACTTCCACGAATGTGATCGAAGCTCATGAAGAAGATGAGAAGAACACGAAAACACCCTTTCGATTTCATCGCCAGTCGTTGTTTTAGTTGTTTTATGTTTACTCAATCGTCACATATCCAAGTTGCTCATCTCGTTCTTCACTTTTCGAAAAAAAAAAACGCGTATCTCGAAGAGGCAAACTTTCTCGAAAGCCTCGCATGTTGATGGCAACAGAATATGTCAAAATGTTAAGGTCTGTTTGCAATCATCCCCGAATTTTGTACTTTTTAGACTTTTGGAAGGACTTGATCACGTGCTTGGATACTACATAGCAACGCATTGCTGGTAAGCTACGGTGAGCTATGCTGAGCTACGCAACAAAGGACATGTCTGATTGGCTGAGAGCAACTCGAAAATCCTGGTATTCTATTGGCTAATCCAAAAAGCCATTCGAAGCGCGTGAAACCAAGAGATTGGAAGAGTGTTATTTCATTGGAACTTAGCTCGTTGTCTTTACAGAGACGGTGAAACACAGCGAAAATCTAACATGGTAGTCACAATTATTTGGGCCTAATAATCACTGTGTCGAACGCTGATTCATCCCTAATCAAAATGACAGCGAATGATCTTAAAATTAAATAATTACAAGCTTACACGAGTGCCTATCAATAGTGAAATTTGAGGACAGAGAATCGTTTTCTTTTAAAATGCAGTTTTCGATATCGTTTGGGGTGCCAAAGCACAGCGGAGTTACCATAAATAATAAAGTAAATTTACCTTGAATTAGAATTGCGTAAATTTGGTCTTCCTTTGAAATAATAGTCGTTTCAAGTGAAAAAACGAAAAACTTTCCGCTTGGCGAATTGGAAAAAACAGCACCATACTCAAAGGTATCAGAATCCCCTCTGCAAAAATTTATGATTTATTTGAGTTATGATTTAAAACCAACACAGGTAGAGGAAGTCCAGGTGGAAATTCAAATTGTAATGGTTATTCAGCCGGTTTTGGTCATTGAGAAGGAACTATAATCTCGAACGCTGACTTTTCATAACACGAGTGCGACAGAACAGTCAGTTTTCCTTACGTAGAATTATTTGCCTTCAAGTGCCCAGGACTTTTGTCGTGGAAAGTGATACATAAATTCCAAACAACTGGTAATAGACCTTTTATGAAAGAAGAGCTCCGTAAGTACAAACTATTATAAAAAGTGGCAAGGCTCACACCTTAGCGCGGAGCAGAGCGAAAATCTCATTATAAGTGTAGCTTCATTTGATCTCTGTTGTAAACCGTCGGTAGGTTAATTTTCCAGTTTTAGACTTCAGTTGTCGTATTATATTAATTCACGAGCCCGTTCAGCACATTTGTGAAACATAATCGCTTCTCAGTTTAAGTAATTATCGATACGACGCGAATATGGCTGCTTAAAACACGAATCGTTTCTAGTTCTTTACGAGTTCTCGAGGCCAAATATCTGAAACGGCTGAGTGATACAGCAATCGCCATATTCCGAGTAGAGAATTGTAAATAAGGAATAAGGGGAGCTTAAAAGTTTAAATTTAAGTGTGGAAAGGCGTGCGAAAGGCGATTAATAATAATACAAAGTCCAGCAACCAGTCAGAGAAAAAAGCATTCACCACATTCACAAGTGTTTGAGGTGTTTTCGACGAAAAAGTCAAAGATCGCTTCGCTTGAGTTGATCACCACAATGAGCGCGATGCTGGTTTGCTTGCTCACCAGCAATGTGTTGCTATGTGGTATCCAAGCACGTGATCAAGTCCTGCAAAGAGCCTCTACGAGCAGACGATATTATGCGCAGTCCAGCAGCTGCTTCGTGATTGGTCTCTGATCGCGGCCGTCACCCTATGACAAACGTTTGTTTATCCGTTTCGAAACAGTGGGAGTCAACACCTTCGATTGGAAACGAAACTCCTTTAGCTGCCCCTCTCCTTTTCAATCCCTTAATGACCTAGCCGCGCTGATATGATTCACACTACTATCAACGTTGGACACGTAATGTGCCTACAGCCGGCGAACTTTCGAGGGCTGCACGCGCGACCGAGTTTCCGGCCACGACGAAGTGTGTCGCATGTTTGCTTAGCTTACCGCGGACTTAGCTGAAGACATGTTAAATTTGCTTGGCGAAAGACTTTAGCATGGGATGACACTTCGGAAATTCAACAGATCAATTATTTTTGCTGTTACGAAAACTCAACGAGAAACGATAATTTTTACGAAACCCAGAGAAACAGCGCAATGATTTTTTCATTTTTTCCTGTTGCTCTACCAGCGCGCCCACTCTTCCAAATTCTTTATCAATTAATTCTCGCGAGTGACTGCATTCTGTCTTCAGACCCTTTAATACTGATCGCCCTTACAACCGACAAAACTTTTAACAGTAATACAGCGCGAACTATCCAGCGTATTTGTATAAGCTTACTGGTGGTATCCTATTGAATAAAATGTCAGTATTGTAAAATTTCCGCAAAGTTTTCGAGAACAATTTCTGCAATTAAGTTTGTGACGCATTAAAATACGTCGGGCATCACACGAAGATTATGCAACGAGCGTTTTGGGTTGAACGTGACCGAGGTAGTATAATAATCAATACTACTTGGGCAGGACAATGAAGAGAAGAAAATAAAACTTTATAATTCTTACATCATCAAAAATTTTGTTGGCATTCAGTAGGTTCGAGTTTCTTGCTTACGCGCAGAGGAGAAAAAACTGAAGACACACAACTATACAACAACTGTAAATAGGGAAGTTTACTAAAGACAGACAGGTAGAAAAGCAAACAAATCTTTATTTCTGTGTTGGATTAAAACATTAAGTAAACGGAACAGGCACCCACAAAATGCCAAAGAGTTAGTAAAAATCACCGAGTGCCGGCTGTTTGAACTTTTCGTTGATCCAGGAAATATGAGCGCAGTTTCGACTCGTAAATATGAGATCAAACCCTGGTGACTTATTAGGGGAACATCATGAAGCCCCACGATGCACGAACGTAGGTCAAAACTTTTTCATATAGGATTGAAGAGCAAGCAAAAATGTAGGAACTCATTGCCGAAGTAATTTTGAAGTCGACTTAAAAAGTACGAAATAGCAGTGTTTCCCAGTGTTCATCGGTTTAGTTCCTTGGGATCTGATATTATGCATTCCTTGATTTGTTGTGATTCTCGGGGTGTGATGGCACACGTTTTTTCGCATGCCTAGGTTTATGAGTATGTATTACATTTACGTCAGCGAATTAAAAGTTGATGGCGAAAGGTTAAGTGTGAAATAAAGTTTTATACCCTAAAATATTTGATAAGAATTGCAGAAATAAATATCCTTAAGCAAACAAAAAGGTGACAGTTGTTACATTCCTATCATGGAAGATTCTGAGAGTTCACTTCTCTCCCTCTTTTCACGATCAAATCAGTCGATTGTATGTGAACACCCGGCGAAGGTTTACAAAAATTAGACCAGACCGCAAAAGAAAGGCTAACCCTTGAAAGAAATGAATTGCTTTCGTTCAAAGTTTCCATGCAGTGGCGCATACCTAAGTCACGGCTGACTGAGGGCTCATTAGGTCAATAAATAAATAGATGTCCTAATATCTCGATAACGTAACTTTCTGAGGAAGGGCCGCTCGAAACATCAGCTTTGAAACTCCTTACGGTGGCCAATTTCCATTACCAACTACACTGACTATACTCCTCCACCAACACAGCACCACAGTTTCTTTAGAAACTTACTTTGTTTATTCATTCATTATTGCTCTTCGACCGTGTCGGCCAAGCCTCTGTGAAATATGTTATTGGCCTCTGGTTTTAACCCTTCCTTTAAAGCAGTTTTACAGAATCTAAATGCGTTAAGTTTACAAATTCCAGAGTGCAACCCGCACATTTTTCACCTTTATATACCTAAAACATTCTTAAATATATCTACGGTGAGACTAGGAAAAAAAGTGCGCGTCAGCAGAGGCTCATGACGTCACGGTCGAGGCACGGTACTCAAAAATTTTGCCACAACTTTTCATGTTTTCTTTTGGTATCCATTCTAATCTTCTACATATTTTCATCGTTGTGTACTTAGACATTTTGAAATATATATACAGTGAGACTGAGTAGAAAAAAAATGCGCGCAAGCGGAAGCTCATGACGTCATAGTCGGGGCACGGGGCTCAAAACTTCTTGGCTTTTGGTATCCAATTTAATTCTCTGCGTCTTCTTTCATTTATAAGTCATTAATTTTGTTCTTTTGTGGAAACTCTTTACTAAATAAACGGGCGCTTAAAAGCGCTTAAGTTCTATGTAATATTTTGATTTTTTTTTTATTTTCGGTTTGTTTGTTGTTGTTTTTTTTTTTTGCGTTTTTTTCCTTTAGAATTTGCCGTGGATTGGGCCAATATCAACAATACATAAAAATACACACTCATCATGACGTAACAGATGTAAGTACCGCAGTAATTTTCAATATCAACTGAGGACTTTTTCTTAAGAGTCATCAAGCCATTTGTGATTGATTAGCAAGACTTCAGTTAAATCTTTTTTTTCACCATGACAAAAACAGGGGCTTTGTTTACAAAGTGCTTTGTTTGGCTTGGAAGAATCCATAGAAAGAATCGAAAAGATCCAAAACATTTCTTAAATCTATTAACGATTTTTTCTTTGTTCAGACCCCTAAAGCAACAACAAAGGAAATCGAAGTCATGACGGATGTTTGGAAATATTATGTCCTTAACAAAACTTTTACCACTTTTCTTTTGTTTTGATTGAGAGGAGCTCGATCAGTTGACACATTGATTAAATATCTGCTTGTCCAGAATGCGCGGAATGTACCACCCACCCTTGTAGATTTATTAACTTGTTTGTTTTTTTTTTATTGTGGAATCCTTCAATTTTTCATTATGTCAGACTGATGTCGGTAATTCTTTGAAAACACTTCAATTTGGCTAACATCTGCTTCCACAAAGGCCGCAGAAAACAACAACGTCACCGCCTACCAAAATTGTTGTGGTTGAACGTGCAGGAGTTTAAACAACATCCTTAAACACAAGCATCAAATGATGTTATATCTCTCGAAACATGATTTCACACACGTCCATATTTTGTGCGTGTGTATGTCTTTTTTTTCGGTTTTGAAATTTGCTTTGTTCAACACAGAAAATCGAAAGCGAAGGCCGCTCGAATCCGATCAATATTTGCAGTGTTCTGAATGTGGCGGTACATGTTCTAAACTGTTACCATTTTGTTGATATGCGTTTGTAAAAGAAAAATTGTGTGCTATCAACTAAAGTAAAGGAAAACTGTCAGAAGCATAACAAGCTGGAGTTTTTTCTTATCCCTTCAGAATTTCCTCTTTCTCTAAATGTCTTTGTGAAGACAGCTTAATCAGCAAATTAAGTTTTTATAAACTTCTTCTGTGATAAGCCTCACCGCTCGGAAACGTGGAAACTGGAAAGTTATATTTTGTCTTTTACACTGCAAAGGAAACTTGTATGTGTTATATTATTCTCTCTTCGAAGCTTCATTATTATGAATGACCGAAAACTTTTCCCAAGGCGCTTCGCAAACTATTAGTGGCTGCGATAGAGTGGTGACGAGCATCAAGTATGAGGGACCCTGGGAAGACGACAGAGGTGGTGCTTTCCTTAGACAGTTAGAGAAGTTATCAGAGACGTTACACATGAATTTTAGGCCCAACGGCATTCTGCAATTATTTAACTATCCTCCCCCTTGTCTCACGCGTTTATACCTTAAAAAAAGAACGTGTTTCCATTTACAGTTAAAAATTAATTTGTAATTTCTCTTCGTGTCTTATGTGGGGATCATAGGAAAAGGCAACGAAACTATAATTTACTTCTTTTCGGCGTTTGCAGTTGCTGTGCTCAACCTTTTGACTCCTAGGAGTGACTAGCACCTAATTTCTATGTACGATATCACGCCTGAATCAAACCTTATGGTCTTGAGAATAAAGAATAATGATCCCCAACTTAAGAAGCTCTTGTTTTTTTTTAATTATCCTTTTCAGCTTCTAAGGAAAAGTATAGAGCACAGTATGGAAAATATGTATAGGGTGTTAGGCTGTAAAGGGTTGATCTAGGTATTGCTCAATTTAGCGGGGAGACGCCTGTATTGATTAAATTGTGCGGTCTATTAACTCTTACGTCGATGCATACAATAATAGAGAAATTAATAGGTACACCGAAGTTACAAGATTCATCTAATTTTATTGTTTAACATTGGAAAGTTTAAGGTAAATCGATATTTTCTCTACAAAATTTGAAATTTCTATTTTTCTGACATTTCTGAAACTATGTATTAGATGAGAGCTTTCACCATTGGTTCAGTTTAGCTCGGAAACAAGAAAAAAATTCCAAATCATAATTTTGGTATTCCAGAGTGTACAAATGAACTTCTCTGATGAATTGCGGCAAATATCTCCTCACTGAATGAGCTCAAAAATTAATAGTTTGTTAAAAAGAGGTGGCTGAGGTTTTTTTTTTAATTTATTCAATCAGTCTTTTGACCCTTTGTAAATCTGGCGTAATCAGGAAACAAATAAAAATTTCTGGGGATAAGAGTAGCTTTTCAGATAAAAGTATTTCTGGCAAATGCGAACTAACGGTTTCGTATTCTGGGAATTTGTTCAGCTCTTACGCTGTACCATATCAAACTTGTCTTCTCGAAACATCTTATTTTATGTAAACAAATGTAAATGGCGCGCTTAAGTCGACAGCTCATCTGCGACTTGTTTCTCTCTCGTCTTGACAGTTTGCTGGATCAAAATGAAGGTATAATTGACGTATTAGACCCTTACTTTGTTGGTTTTCTGAGCTATCCTTTTCTTCTACGAAACCTTCGGTTTCTATCTAACAATTGGACCATGAACTTCGAGATTCCTACCGCGTGATAGTTGTGGATGAAATATCGTGCGTTGAAGTCGAGAGCAAATAATCTTATTTTTTTAGTATAAATCTACCAGTCGTTCAAAACTTATCAACAAGACAGGCCACTGCTGTAAATGAATAAGGATACAAATAAGTCACTTCTCGTGCAGATACATTTTCAGTTGCACCATACCCAATTTCTATCACGGAATTAATGACGAATAGTGTAGCTATAACCGATCAGATTGCAGAATTATCGATTGAACGCGAATAGATCTATATCTTTCAACAAGGATGAAAATGCCTATCCATTTTAACAAAAGTATTCCCGAATTTAAGTACTAAGCGTGCGATGAACAGGACAAAACTTGGAGAGTCCGGAGAAAGTTGGAGATCGTTTCTCAAACCTTGTTAAACCACAAGCAGAGATGATTTTCAAAATCATTCTGAAGATTATTTATGAACGTTTTTAACAATTGAAAATAGAATTAAAGCCCGTGTAAAATAGGGAACGAAAGCGGGGCGGCTTTTTACTGCCCAGCTCTCCGTCAATATATTGTACAAAGTCATCAGATAATAACAAAAGCCTTGGGCTCATTTCTTCTTCTTATGACAGTAAATTTTGATGTTGGCTATTTCTGCAATGTCATAGAGCACTCTGTCGGCGTGGTAGTTTGCACGACCAAGTGTGATGTCTTTCATGAAGATCTGGTTAAACGCCTGCGAAAAGGAGAGAAAAACAATCATGTAGGTTACAAAAGTTAACCTTGCAACCCTTTAGAGTGACTAACAACAAATATCTCTATTCGTTGTTACTACTGTGACTGACTCAAACATGAGAATACAGGAATATAGGACGAGCAAGCCTATATACATAATTTTTTATGGTGGGGATGAAATTATGTGCTTTCTCGAGGTTACTTTAAAAAAAGGTCAATACAAGTCTCTAATGATATGACTGGATAGAGGCCCAAAAGACCGCTCAGAAGGTTGGAGACGAAAACCGTTCTCAATGGCAAACTACTATTTGGCTCAAACGGGCTCCTAAGGCTATCACATACCGCTTTGATTTGCCGCACTCTTTGCATGATCGTTACAGCTTTTCCAGCTGCCTTTGGAGGAAGAGATGAACTCTCGAACAACCCGTCGAATGCACGGAACAGATTTCCTAGAAATCGCTCTACACCCTCTCCTCCAAGCGAAGTTATTCTGCTGTCCATGGCTTTAACCCAGGCCTTGACACTGATTGTTTCTTGATGCTTCAGTGCTTCATCGCATTTCTTTTCCCATTTCTTAACGCCTGAGACACAAGAGGAAACCGTTTCCCTTAATTTCAACTCGCTCCATGTGAACTTAAAAAAGCAGTGGTTTTTATATTTCAGGAAGGAAACATGGGCATGATCCATGCCCATGTTTCATTTGGGAACACGATCCCTTAACCCAATCTTCGTATTTACTCCACCAAAAACTTCGGCGTTTAAATAATTTTCAGTGCTTCAAAAGCAAAAATTTATTCATGGGTGGAGTTAATTTTAAACTTCGTAACGATTACTGTAAATTATGTCTAAAAAAAATTAGGTAAAAGAGAAGCATGTCGTTAGTTACAATCACTCTATTTTACTATAAATTTCCATGGATAGGGTAGATCATCCACTTGCGATGTACCTGTTATTATTAGCATTTATTTTCGTTTGCGTTATAAGCCTCGAATAGACGTCGTATTCTTTCGATGAGAGCAGCTTCTTGGAAATGGAGAGCAGTGTTTATTGGAAATTTTTTTGTCTGTGTTTGCGACGTTTAACTGAGGGCAATTTCTATTCGAGATAGACATTTAATTGCGTAAATCATTACAGTATGGGTTTTTGATAAATAATGGTAATTGAACTGAGTGGAGTGTATTTTGGTCTGAAATCGACGAGTGATTTCAAAATCGAACGAGCGTGCAGCGCGAGTTTGGTTAGAAATCACAAGTATAACTTCAGACCAAAATTGCTCAAAATGAAGTTAAATTACCACTTTGTTACAAACATCCAGGACTTTTTTTATTGAACCAATGCTGAGCTGGTTTGTAAACAACTGCAAAATTTGTCTTTCATTTTCCTGTAATTTGAATTGGTTACTTTAAACAAGCCTTGAAATATATTTGATGTTGTGTTTAACAATGGTTTTTCATAGGCTGGGAAAAATTTGCGATTTAAAGCCAAAATTGTGCGATTCGCGAATA